CTGTGCAGCTGGTTTCTCTTACAGCCGTGGAGCTGGTTTCTCTTACAGCTGTGGAGCTGGTTTCTCTTACAGCTGTGGAGCTGGTTTCTCTTACAGCCGTGGAGCTGGTTTCTCTTACAGCTGTGAATCTGATAATTCCAGCTTTAAAATTATTTTTTTAGCAGCGGCTTCAACACAACACCAGTCAGCCTAACTCCCGTTAGTCGAGATGGGGTACTCCACTTGACACCCCCCCCCCCCGTCCCCACCAGTGGAGGGTATCATAGTGTCTCATGTAGAACAGGTACATTTGGCGTATCGATGTGGGAAAGGGGAAAAAAGCAAAAACGCCTTGCCGACTTAACAAGATCTCATATGTATATATATATATATATATATATATATATATATATATATATATATATATATATATATGGTTCCATGACAAATGATCTCAGGACAAATGATCTCAGACAAAATATCTCAGACAAAATATCTCACGGACAAATGATCTCAAGACAAATGATCTCAGGACAAATGATCTCAAGGACAAATGATCTCACGGACAAAAGATACCAGGACAAAATATATCAGGACAAGTGATATCATGGACAAATGATCTCAGACAAAATATCTCAGACAAAATATCTCACAGCAAAATTTTAATAGTAGCCTGTATACGATGATTTTAGTTGATTTGAACTGTTTTTTTTTAATTGACTGTAAATATGGTTTTGTTTACTCTTTTTACGCATACTAGTTGATTGTTCTAAAATGAATTTGTTAAACTTAACAAACAAATGTGAATGGGTCTTCAGGTTTGTAACTTAAAACTGTTGTTTTTACTGCATCATGAACACAAAAATAAAATTTACGTTACTTTGCTGGCAGTTACATCGTTATGATCGCACATTTCCAATACTATGTGATCATGTATTGTGTGAACTTTCGCTGTACCCTACATGATCTTACTTGACATTTCCAAATCTCTTTGCCTGCTGCTCTACGTATGGCTTTTATATACAGAAATTCATTAGAAACTAATGCCCTATACCCTATCTGCGAGGTAACGAAATAGGCCTTAGCTGAGTAATCACTACTAATACTGTTTTGTTTGCAAGCACACTACGACAAACTTAGCTCCGCGATGACCGCTGTCTTTTAAATAAGCATTTGTCACCTGATCACTAAGGTGTGACCGACACATAACAATTGACATTGGATGCTAGTTGTATTGTCCATGGAGGGCGGATGTCTTTCCAATAAGGCATGTCTCTGCCATCAAAGCGGGCAGCCACATTGATACGAAGGTGTGTCTTTATTGTTATTTCATCCCCTTTGGTCTAGTTTCGTCCACCTGACGTGGCAGGATTGTCTCATGTTTGTCAAGCACACCTACGCTGTATATCGAAATAAATTCTTTAATCTTCGCATACTATATTAGTAATCTTAATTTTAAAATGCTTAGTACAATATAGCAAATTTATACGGCAAACATTTCTTACAATTATTATATAGGCCTATAAACAATATTAAACATAGTAAACAAAACCATATGACAGTCAATAAAAAATGTTCAGATCAACTAAAACTATCCAATACACTTAAACAATTTTGCTGTGAGATATTTTGTCTGAGATATTTTGTCTGAGATCATTTGTCCATGATATATTTTGTCCTGATATATTTTGTCCTGGTATCTTTTGTCCGTGAGATCATTTGTCCTTGAGATCATTTGTCTTGAGATCATTTGTCCTGAGATCATTTGTCCGTGAGATATTTTGTCTGAGATATTTTGTCTGAGATCATTTGTCCTGAGATCATTTGTCCTGTCACCATATATATATATATATATATATATATATATATATATATATATATATATATATATATATATATATATATATATATATATATATATGCGTGTGTGTGTTCAGGCAACGAGCCACAACACATTACATGATCCAGTAGTTCAGCTGCTTTACTAGACAACACCCACCCATCGTCCAGCTGTTCATAACTACACACTGAGAGGGCGGTACATGTGAGGTCATGCTGACCCAACCAACAACATGACGCCATAAACAAAGTCTGGGCGGCATTTTAAAAAAAGAAAACCTAACCGCATCAAATCATGGGATTGAGAATGGGAGGCAACAATAAATTATTCGGAGGGATTATGGGAGGCAATCTTTAGCCTGTTTTATTTCAAAAGCTTTTTTTTTTATTGATATTGATTTTACGGTTCGTTACATTTTATCCAATGTGGAGTTTTTATTGTTCAACAATTTGTTCGCTTAATTTTCGTCTTTTTTAATTTATTAGTTTGTGGGTTGTTGTTTTTTCTAACTCGTTTATTTCCCCGCCCCTGATATGGGGGATAATATCAGAGGGAGTACAGGGGAAGTAGATTTTTGCTACTTCTGTTGGCAAGAATAGATTTGTAAACAATCAACAATAAATGAAAATTTCCTGACAAGTGTGATTAAAGTAGACATCGTTAGGTAGTTGAAAACGACATTCTAGTAGACGACATTTACGACCACGACATTGTAGACCACGACATTATAGACCACGACATTGTACCACTGACAAGCTATCAAACGACATTCAGGTTCAAAGGTTAAAGACATCGAATCCCTAATTTAGATTTTCATTCAAACGATAAAGTCACGTGATAAAGTGACGTCATGAAGTGACGTGATAGTGACGTCGTTAGTGTGACGTCTGCGTGATAAAATGGTGGTCAGGATGACGAGAAGTAACTATAACAAAAGATACACAGATTGTACTATAACAAATGTTACTGTAACAAGTTTCTTAAGTAACAAATGTTACACAGATTATAAATGTTACACATATTATATAGTAACAAATGTTACACCAATTATACAGTAACAAATATTACACCGATTATACAGTAACAAATGTTACACAACCATTTTCTAAAATAATTATGTTTCAAGCTACCCATGTAATCGGCGGAGCTTCACGGAAATCGATTTTGAAGTATCGTTGAGCCGATACTAACGTTAGTTACAAAAGCGTGTTTTAAATATTAATTCGCCAGATTGTCGAACTCTTATGGCGGGAATATATGGCTCATTACCCGGACCAATGAAATCCAGTCTTCGTCTGGCATGGTTTCGATCCGCTTCGATTTGTATTAATGGAACGTTTGCTAAAGCTATCCAGTAATGGACAATAGGAGACGACCACGGCGTATAGATTTGTGTCGTTAGATAGGTATCGTGGCGTTAGATAGGTATCGTGTCGTTAGATAGGTATCGTGTCGTTAGATAGGTATCGTGTCGTTAGATAGGTATCGTGTCGTTAGATAGGTATCGTGACGTTAGATAGGTATCGTGACGTTAGATAGGCATCGTGTCGTTAGATAGGTATCGTGGCGTTAGATAGGTATCGTGTCGTTAGATAGGTATCGTGGCGTTAGATAGGTATCGTGGCGTTAGATAGGTATCGTGTCGTTAGATAGGTATCGTGACGTAGATAAGTATCGTGACGTTAGATAGGTATCGTGGCGTTAGATAGGTATCGTGTCGTTAGATAGGTATCGTGGTGTTAGATAGGTATCGTGGCGTTAGATAGGTATCGTGGCGCTAGATATAGGTATCGTGACGTTAGTCAATGGTCTGGGTACAAACAACTTGAAGAGTCGATACGGTAAGGGTTAAGTTTTAGGTTAGGGCGGGGTCGGCAACATTGTTGGGTAGACAGCCGGGGTAGTGCCCTCCTTCCCCACCCCCATTTATTTCCCTCATTCCCCACCCCCGGGTATTTCCCTCCTTCCCCACCCCGGGTATTTCCCTCCTTCCCCACCCCGGGTATTTCCCTCCTTCCCCACCCCGGGTATTTCCCTCCTTCCCCACCCCGGGTATTTCCCTCCTTCCCCACCCCCAGGTATTTCCCTCCTTCCCCACCCCCGGGTATTTCCGCCCTTTCCCACCCCCAGGTATTTCCCTCCTTCCCCACCCCGGGTATTTCCCTCCTTCCCCACCCCGGGTATTTCCCTCCTTCCCCACCCCGGGTATTTCCCTCCTTCCCCACCCCGGGTATTTCCCTCCTTCCCCACCCCCAGGTATTTCCCTCCTTCCCCACCCCCGGGTATTTCCCTCCTTCCCCACCCCTGGGTATTTCCCTCCTTCCCCACTCCCGGAAATTGCCCCCCCCCCTTCCCCACCCCTGGTTATTGCCCTCCTTCCCACCCACGGGAAAGCGCCCATCGGGTCCAGCTTTAACACGACATGAAGTTAGTGTCCACCTCCACCCCGCCCCCCACCCCATCACCCACCATGGGATAGAACCCATCAGCCACATGAGTGAGAAAATCTCCTGACCATCTCGTGTCGAGATACGAAACTAAACGGTCAGCGTTCTACGGCTAGCTCTGCCCAGCGGCTACTCTAGCAAATAGATGTGACCCCTGACCCCGGGGGGTCACGTGGTGCCCGAAAGCGATATTTTATTCAAATGACCGTCGGGCGACGCTGCTCTCTATTCATTGGCCCAGCTAGACACGTGGGTCGGCGATGTTAATCTACGTCTGTGTGAGGTTAATGAGCTCACAAACAGGCGGGGTGGAGGGGGGGGGGAGTTTGTGAGCTAACAAATGGGGTGGGACAAATCTGTATGTACACAAAAAGGAAGGGGGGGGGGATCTGTGAGTTCAGAAAAAAGGGACAAATTTGTGTGGTGGTGTGTGTGTGGGGGGGGGGGGGTCGAAAAGAACGCTTGTTTCCTTAAACAGGTATTTCTACGACAATAAGTACGTAGAAAAATGACCTCAAATTTTTTGTTTCGTTTAAATAAAGGACATTTATATTATTTTTCTACTGGCCCATTAATTTTGTATAGTACTTTTCTACTGGCCCATTACAACATTTGTTGTCCTGGTTGTCTGACTGCAACATTTTGTCTAATGAATATTTCTGGTTTCTATGTCCCCGTATAGAACACAATAGTTACATTTCTTGACCCCCGTGTTTTCTACCTCCCTCCCTCAGGAAACTGGAAGAGGACTACGTCGACTTGGCCACCAAGGTCCCCAGGAAGCCGTCCCTGACTGAGCAGGGGGAGACCATCGCTCTGTGTCCAGTCTGCAATAGGGCTGAGCTGCTGCTCAACCGGGACGGCACGGGCTCCAGCATGACGGTGTGTGTGGACTGTGAGAAGCGGACCTGCCCCGACTGTGGGGGCTACAAGACCGCCCTGCCCACCAAGGTCAGTTCTGATAAGTTGGTTCCAGAAAGTTCCCCTGCCTGGGGGTTTGACTGGAATTTTGGCTCCAACAGGTTTCTCTAGATCTGATTCCCCGCCAAGTTCCAATACAGGCCACTTATTTTTTATGTCGGGCCACCTAGTTCCCTTAACGGCCAACTAGTTCCTATAGTGGCCATCTTGCTCCCCAATGGCCACCTTGTTACAATAGTGGCCATCTTATTCCCCAATGGCCACCTTGTTACAATAGAAGCCATCTTGTTCCCTAATGGCCATCTAATTACTACGAGCCGACCCGCGGCGAATCATACGTCGCTATTTAGTTCTTTTTTCTACTTTTCAGTAATTCATAATTTGTGAATTCGACAGTACCAATGCTGCCACTGAAAATATTTGCTTTAAAACACTAAAACCCTCCTTTACCCCCACCCCACCCCCCACCCCCTCCCCCACCTCGTGAAAGCAGCCTCCTCTTAGTTATCTCCCCTAAGTTTAAAATCGTTTCAAACTAAATAATCTGCCCCTAATAGCCGTCACTAAACCCGTCTCTACGATTATAACCATTTAACGTGAACCACAGCTCACCAGACCATGTGGGGATGGGGGTGGTAGCGATATGCCTAGAGAGGAAGAGAGGGGCCGGCTAGGCGCGCTTACAGCTTGGTGTTTTCAAGGGTTTCCAAGAAGAGAATTATATAGATAGATAGATATTGGCCATCTTATTCCCCAATGACCTCCTTGTTACAATAGTTTCCATCTTGTTCCCGATTGGCCCCTTAATTTCCTTAAAGGCCATGCATTTATCTAGGGCCACCCATTTGCACTAAAGCCCTCCCCCCCCCCCCCCCCCCCCCCCCATACCCACCCTTTTAGGTTCTCATCAAAACAGAAATTTCCGCTTGAAATCAGACACATTATTTCATAATAGAATGAAAAATAAAATGTAAACAGAAAATCGGATCGGTGGAGAAAGGAAATGTAATCGAGGTAAATTGGTTGCTTAGATCTATTTGCTGATGGTAAATATGTATAATCGATTCCGCTTACATTGTCGGCATCGATGACGACTTAATCCCCGTATGTTGTCATTCGCGAGGCATGTCGGGAGTTGAACAGGGAAGATACTTAGACAGTGCTAGAGATGAGAGATATATTTAGATTTGGGTCGCTTGTATTTGTTGGTCAAATTTTGTCCGACTATTTGTGTTGGGGGCGGTGAGGTCTTTTGAAAGGTCTTCAGATTAATAGCATATTTGTGGTTTGTGTCCTTTATCGTGTGTGGTTTGTGTGGTTAATAGTGTGTGGTTTGCAGAGTTTCTTCCAGGCATCTTCGCCCCCCCCCCCCCCGAAGAAGGTCTACCCCCCCCCCCCCAACGAAATGAAATTTATTCAGAATACATATACTTTTACTTCTGTCGTCGTTCCCCCCCCCCCCCCCCACGAAAATATCAAGTGTCTTCCCCCGAAGAAAAAATTTCTGGAAGAAATACTGGTGCGGCAAATCGTGTGTGGATTGTGTGGTTAATCGTGTGTGGATTGTGTGGTTAATCGTGTGTGTCGCCCATTAACAATCTGTGTGGTTGATCTCATATTTGTGGTGGTAATGTTTGACTAATTTCCGATGCTTAATTTTTAATGACCTCTACAGAATATTATGTAGTATCGATTAGTGGGAGACAACCAACAAATTTCCCTATTTATGGTTCGTTTTCTAGCCCCTAAACAAGACCCCAACCCCCAACCTCTAACCAAGATCCCAACCTCTAACCAAGATCCCAACCTCTAACCAAGATCCCAACCTCTAACCAAGATCCCAACCTCTAACCAAGATCCCAACCTCTAACCAAGATCCCAACCTCTAACCAAGATCCCAACCTCTAACCAAGATCCCAACCTCTAACCAAGATCCCAACCTCTAACCAAGATCCCAACCTCTAACCAAGATCCCAACCTCTAACCAAGATCCCAACCTCTAACCAAGATCCCAACCTCTAACCAAGATCCCAACCTCTAACCAAGATCCCAACCTCTAACCAAGATCCCAACCTCTAACCAAGATCCCAACCTCTAACCAAGATCCCAACCTCTAACCAAGATCCCAACCCCAGCCCGAACATAGTGTCCCAGTAAATAACTTAATGAGGCCTCTCAATGAGAGGATACACAGGTAACCTCCCTTGTGATTGTGCTCATACACTTGTATACTTTTTTGTATGTTCTTGTATGTCCTTTATGTCCTTGTATGTGTTTGTTTGGACCTGCCTTGATACTTACATTAAGGAGCTGTTAGTTCAATGTTCTTTTCTTTGGTTTTTATAAACTATTCCATCATTCTTGCAATTTTCTAGCGCATAGATGCCGACAACTCCATCCCCCCCCCCCCCTTGGATCTTACCCCTCCCCTCACACGTTTTGTGCTGAGAAAGTGGCCGTGTTTTGTCCCAAACAAAAAGACATCCATAATGGCTTGTCTCCCCTTGTTGTCCACGTGTTCTCTCCCCTTGATAAGACATCCCGGCCGCATGACAAACAACATGTTTGGTCACGTGCTCAAGTCATCCAATCGTTGGCTGGGTGGGGGCGGGCTGGGCTGGGTTAGGTCTGTGGGGGGGGGGAGAAAAAAACCTTGGTGTCAGGTTTATGGCGGGATTATTGGTGGCAATCAGTGGTGGTGTGTTGGTGTCACTTGGTGTTTTATTGGTGGCGATTGGTGGTGGTTTGATGGTGTCAATTTGGTGGTGATTGATGGTGGTGTGTTGGTGTCAATTTGTTGTTTTATTTGTGGCGATTGGTAGTTTGTTGGTGTCAACTGGTGTTTTGTGATGGCAATCAATGGTGGTTTATTGGTGTCAATTTGGTGTTATTGATAGTGACTAGTTGTTTTTGGAGGTGAGATTAGCGGTGACATTTACTCGATAAAAGTCATATCGACTTGACGACAGCATCGTTAATGTAATTGATAGGGTAAAATCCGGTCAGGCGAGACCTTGTGGCTGAGTTTGACCTTGAGGTTTCGATACCTTCTGATACTACGCCGTGGTCTGTAACAACAGACAGTGACACCAATTTAACCATGACACAGGCATGACACCAATTTTTAACCATGACACAAATTTAACCATGACACAGGCATGACACCAGTTTAACAATGACACCAATTTAACCATGACACCAATTTAACCATGACACCAATTTAACCATGACACCAATTTAACCATGACACCAATATAACCATGACACCAATATAACCATAACACCAATTTAACCATGACAACAATTTAACCATAACACCAATTTAGCCATGACACCAATTTAACAATGACACCAATTTAACCATGACACCAATTTAACCATGACACCAATTTAACCATGACACCAATTTAACCATGACATTAATTTAACCATGACACCAATTTAGCCATGACACCAATTTAACCATGACACCAATTTAACCATGACACCAATTTAACCATGACACCGATTTAGCCATGACACTGATTTAACCATGACACCAGTTTAACCATGACACCAATTTAACTATGACACCAATTTAACCATGACACCAATTTAACAATGACACCAATTTAACCATGACACCAATTTAACAATGACACCAATTTAACCATGACACTTACCGCCTTTGCGAGCCTCCAAAAATTGGCCTATCTATGTGGCCATTCTCTTACTGGCCTTACACACATCGGCCAGGTGGCCTTTCTCAAACGTCGACTAGGTGAGTACATCCGCCCTCTACATAACACCTCTACACCCTACACTTCCTACCCCCCTCCCCCCCTTTCATCCCTTTTCTACCCAACAATTTTTTCATCATCCCGACAGCCCCTGGCCCATAGATCGATCTAAAATCGATAAATGACATCGTTTCTTCCTTAACTCCCCGCACCATCAGCCCCCCCCCCCCCCCCCCACACTCCCCACCCCCACATTTCAAGACACATGCTGTCGCCTTTTGTCTATAGAAAACATTCCCAGCGAGATCGTCACGGCCTTTTCAAAAGTCCGGCTTTAAGGCCGGTGTCCCTGTCAACTTGACCGGCTAATTCGGTAATGGCTCCAGTCATCTTGGTGCTTCCGGTTTGGCCAGGTTATTTCAAGAATGTTTTTAAAATTCAATTATAAAATGAGTGCCTTATTGGCGAGAGTTGTACTGGCGACAACAACGTCAGTCGTAAAGACGACAACAACGTCAGCTGTAAAGACGACAACAAATTCAGCTGTAAAGACGACAACAACATCAGCTGTAAAGACGACAACAGCTGTAAAGACTACAACAGCTGTAAAGACGACAACAAATTCAGCTGTAAAGACGACAACAACATCAGCTGTAAAGACGACAACAACATCAGCTGTAGAGACGACATTATTTCATCGTTAAAGAAATTCATTGTTTCTTGCCTTAGTTTTTAATTTTTTTTCCGCTTCACTCTATTTTTAGCATTATTTTTTTTTTTTTTGGCCGCTTTTGAATGCCGGTGAAATTCGGCTTTTTACTTGTTCTTTTGGTACTGTTGTGACTGTCGGCTCATTTTTTTTAATTTCTAAAAATCAAGTCAAGAACAAAATGGGCTTAAGTTTTTAACTTCTGTACCTGATATCACCTTCATAGTTACTGTTAACATCAAGAGGCGCAGGATGTTATTCAACGTAGCTTTTCTCTAACGTTTCGTTAGAATTTTTTATTTTATTTTTTGTTCCATCCTGAAGGTGTAAACAGTTTTAATGGTTTTAAATAGGCACTAAATTAAGTCACGTTGTAACAAAACCTAAGCCCAATATATCACTCAACATCTGTGTGAAGCCCCCATACATCACTCAACATCTGTGTGAAGCCCCCATACATCACTCAACATCTGTGTGAAGCTCCCCCCCCCCATAAATAACTCAACATCTGTGTGAAGCCCCCCCCCCCATACATCACTCAACATCTGTGTGAAGCCCCCATACATCACTCAACATCTGTGTGAAGCTCCCCCCCCCCATAA